TGGTGAAAAATAGTGTGCTTCAGTCAATCGATTGAATTTATTTATCAAATCTTATGTGATTTAATACACAGTTATTCTCTGGACTCAAGTGTTTGCTTATCTTTGACGTTTAGTTATTTTAAAGTGAAGCAACATCCAGTCCCGATTACACGTCCATCTCTCCTGCTTCCTACTGTCTAACATACACTCACGTAGAAGCAAAAAGGTTGAACTAAGTGAATTTCATCAACTCTAACAAGTTAAAGAGAGTAGTTTGCTCAAAGATACATTGGTAATCAAATTCTATGACGAGTTAACTGAACAAAGAAATTAAAAGAATCCCCTGAAAGTACTTTACTTCTAGGTTTTCTAATGGCTCTCTAACCGATTTCAGCTTATGATGAAATACTGTAACCTACAAAATTCCTGCAGACCAACACCTGAGAGTAGTTTCGGAAGAACACTCACAGTGATGCTTTCATTTCTTCAAGGATAATTATCACTAATTTTATAGTTATCTAAATAATTTAGAACTTGTGAAGTTGAGAAAATTTGAGAATAAAGCGAAAAATTATAACACTGATTTCGTCAGTCCTCTTTATTTACTAAAAATATTCATAAAGCCTAAAAATGTTATGTTTATGTTTACTAAAGTGTCGGTGGCATAGCGGTTAGGACGCTCGCCGACCATGTATATGATCCGTGATTCGATCCTCGGCCGACTCACTCCTTTACCTCGCTAAGCCAGAAATAATACTGATGAAGAGGGAAGGTTGGGCATGAGGCTAGCAACCTCATCCTGTAAAATTAACACTGCTACAGAAACTTCAAGCCACTAGCTTGAAGCCTTATGTTCCGCTGGGGAACGTGAAGGAAAAAAAATGTTTACTTAAGGTTTTGAATCCCTTCTGTACTAAAGTATATGAAAGCAGATAGAGTTGCTTTTTTGACGTAAAATGAGATGTATGTAAGAGCTACCTTAGTCATAGCTAAATTTTTACAGTACATTTTCAAAGAATCAGAAAATTGAACCAAATACTCAGTCGGAAAAACTACCCGAAATACAATACAGTAAACATGAAAAAGACGCTAAACAGCTTAAATTAAAAGTGTTTACTGAAAAAGAAAAGATATGTGACTGAAATTTCCACAATTTTTAAGCATGTGTTTTCATTCAACCTGAAGCGGAACCCAAAGTGATTTAAATCGTAACTGAGACCCGTTGAACAAGAGGTAGCTCTCATGGCCCTATTGGTCAAGTGGATAGCGCTTTGATGTTTGAAATGATGGAGACCGGGTTCCAGTTTCAATGGAAACACCATCACTAACTAGGAAATACAGTTACATCCAGATGACGAGTCCCAATTAGGACGAAATGAGCATCATAGATTCCGCTGCTAGTCACCATCCTATTAAATTATTCCTTTCCGGATCTGTTGAAGAAAGTGCATATTTCAAGAGACGAAATAGCTCTCATTAGTAGCATGTTTTCCACATAGCTTAATTAGTTTAACTCTGTCCAGTATGCTTTCCTATGTGTGTGCCGTAACCCGTGTCTCATAAAAACATAAAAAGGTATTAATAAGAAAATAGCAAAATGGATATCTAGTTTTGATTTCTAAAGGTATTTGAATGTCAGATTTTCACCCTTAATACTGCTGTTATTTTAGTTTAATGTAAGATTGTTACTTAACTAGAAGACAATAAGACAGCAATGCCAAATTTCTACCATAGTATGATAGACGATGAGATGTTTTTCAGCATAAATGTGATGACTCAAGCAGATTACATTTATCAAAGTCAAATGATAGTGATGAGTAAGATGGCTAGTCGGCTCAGGTATTCAAATTTCAAGTTATATCTCAGGTAATCAAATACTACTGCATTCCGCATGAGAAAGCCCTTATTATCAGAAGCCGTTAAATAAAGCAAAGAAGCTGAAAGATTGTTAAATTAATTGATAATAAGGTTCCAAGCAGCACTCAAGTTTCGTCGGAGATTGAGGAGGTGAAGTCTTGCGCGATAACGATTCACAAAATTTAATAAAGGATATCATTTTCAAACATTCAGTGATGAACCTTGCTTTCTAAAAGACTTATTACTTAGTGTTACTGGGAAAATCCAAATTAATCAGTTTATTAGCAGAGTATGTAGCATCAGTTTGTTAACAACAGTATGCGTTTCACTCGAATGAATCAAGTTTTTTGTGTCAGTAGGTTAAGTGAACCTTAACATATGAAAACGGAAAAGAGTTGTAAAGGTTACCGTTCTTTAATACTTCAACTCCATCTTTGAAACAGGCGTACGTCTGAATGTAATGTGCAGAATTCTCAAAAGTTGTTTCACATGATGTCTATAGCAAGGAGTGACCAAGAAGTCATCTATCCTTTTATGTATCCACAAGGCTGCATGGGTATCACCGGACAAGTGAACCAAAAATCAAACTGACTTCATCTTAATGTTGCTCAAGGAAGTGGAAACACAGCTTACTGGACAAAAAAGTAAGAAGAGGAACAGACGTCAGCTCAAATGACTGTCTCATGCAAGGAACACCTCAAATAAAATTAAAAATTTCAAGGAAACAGGGGTGGCAGATAGACCACAAGCCAAGTTCAATACTCAAAAACTGAAGGATCAGGTCACAAAAGACATCTTCACTGCAAGCATAAGGAAAAGGTGGAGACACAAATCAACACTAGCGAAGAGACCAGCATTGAAAAGCACTAGAACAACCTGAAAGCAGTGTGGAGCCATACCTGCATGGAAGTTCTAGACAGAGAGGAGAGACAGGACAAACAGTGGCTAACTACAGACACATGGAGACTAATAGAAGAGAGAAGGATTGTAAAACAAAAGATTATCCAGTGCATCGATGAGCAAAAAAACAGAAGTTGAATGCAACCTACAGTACAGTGAACAAAAGAGTAGAGAAAAGTGCCAGGAAAGGCAAATGACAATATTATGAAGCCATGGCAAGTGAAGCAGAACAGCCCGCAGACAAAGGAGACCCCGCAACACTCTACCAAACAAATAAGTTCCTGTTGGGGAAGAAATCAACACAAACTAAGACAGTGAAGGATGACAGTGAAAATTCAATCACCAAAAAGGTGAAGCAAAGGTAACACTGGGCTGAACACTTCAAAAGACTTTTTAATCGACCACCGCCTACAAAACACCAAATAATACCAACAGCGGTAGCAGAACTACCAGTGGACATCAACGCAGAAATCCTGAAGGCCATAAAAATGCTAAAAACTGGAAAAGCAACAGGACCAGACAGAATCCCAGCAGAAGCAATCAAAATGGACCCCCAGACACCAGCTAACTTGATGACACCACTACTGAAGAAGGTGTGTAAGGAGGGCAAGGTACCTGCAAATTGGGGGAAAGGTTACCTATTCAAACTGCCAAAGAAAGGAAACTTAAGTCAATGCAAAAACTGACAGAGCATCATGCTCCTGTCCATCCTAAGCAAAATACAAAGCCGGATCATCCCAGAGAGAATCAAACATGCCTCTGGATGAAAAAATTTGATGAAAACAGGCTGGATTCAGGAAAAGGAAGTCATTCATCGATCAAATCGCGACACTATGTATCATCATTGAACAGAGCTTGAGATGGCAGTCAGCTCTTTACCTCAACTTCATCGACTTTGAGAAGGCCCTCGGCAGTGTCGATCCAGAAGTGATTTGGAAACTAATTCGCTACTGTGGGGCGCAGCCAACAATTATACATCTCATCCAACAGTTGTACGACAACTCTGCATGCCAAGTAATCCACTACGGGAAACTCACGGAACCCTTCGAAGTGAAGACGGGAGTGAGACAAGGTGGCTGCCTATTATCTCCAATGACTTTCCTAATTGCGGTACACTGGACAGTGCGACAGACAGCGGGCAAGGAGAAGACAGGCATAAAATGGACCCACACAAAAAACTTGGAGGATCTGGATTTCGCCGACGATATATGTCTGAGTTCCCCTAGGCTGGAAGATATGCAAGCAACAAGTTGGCAGAAGAAGTATCCAAGATAGGACTTCAGGTGAACATAGAGAAAACAGAGGTGATGAAGATTCCTGGCCGCGAGGAACAGCAACAACAGCAGACAACACGCAACAAACAGACAGCATGAATGCAAGAAATCTGAAAGAAGTAACCTCCTTTACCTACTGACCTTAGAAGCATCACTTCAACTACAGACGGACAGAACAGACGAGGATCGGGAAAGCAAGGCAAGCTTTCACTACTCTCAAGTCTGTATGGAGGTCACCAGTATTCAGCATGAAAATGAAAATAAGATCCGGATTTTCAACTCCAATGTCAAGTCAGTGCTACTATACGGATCAGAGACTTGCACTGTGCGTCATAAAGAGCACTTCAAACAAACTACAGGCCTCCATCAACAGCTGTCTTCGCTCAATACTCAAGATCAGATGGCCGGCCAGAAAACATCAGTAACAGGGATCTCTGGCAATTAGCGAACCAACCCAGCAGAAACTAATCGTGCAACAAATATGCAGGAAGAAATGGAGGTGGGTTGGCCATACTATGAGAAAACAAACCATCAAGAGAGTGACATCACACGTCAGGCCATCCCTCGAGCCGAATGAGAAGCGGTGAGTTGATGTTCAGTGCTAGGGTGACATGAAGGACTTCATGTGAAGAGGAAATAAAAGCATGTGGGTAGACGTGGAGCCAGGTGAAAACGTTGTTAGAGAACCGAACGCAATGGAGACGTGCTGCTGACGCCGTATGTTTGTCTAGGAATTAAAGGAGACAATAATAGTAATATTGAAAGTCTTACCAAAAATGAAAGATACCGGAACTTTGGAAAAACCACGAAAAATCACTTCAAATGAAGATTTTGAAAAGAGCACATTCCTAGGAATCTCTCTTTAATCAATGATTAACTACTCTCATTTCATACTGACCCTAAGTGATAATGGTTATTTATTCGTAGTTGTTTGTTAATGGACTTGATATTCTAAAACATTCGCATGATTGCAACTAGATTTAAAGGTGCTTAAAATAGATTCGTAAAATCTATTAGTATGGCAAATGAAAATTTTCGCAGTTCAACGAATTTCACTGGGCAGAAATATCTGCTCTTGCAGTCTGCGTCTACTGGGAAACATCTCAGGAAATTCATAAATTTGATGATTAATCCACTGTGTAGTGAATATGAAATATCAAAAACGCAAAAATATCAGCGAAATAAATAAAAAAGACAGGGTTTAATATTGTAGTGTGTGAGCAGGAAGGAATAGGCCACTGAATTCAGCGCATCCAAAGTGTTCTTTTGTGACAAACCACCTAAAAAACATATCAGCTCTTTAAAACTAATCCACTGTCTAATTGATGACTAAACATGTGAGAATGCATAAGTACTGCTGTCCGCATTGTCAGGTCTGAGGATAGGCACTTAGTCTTGACAATATCTGATGGCAGGGTTACATTTCGAGCATTAATAGGGTTTATAATTCATTCAGTTGGATTCCGTTTGAGCAGGTGAATGAAGACGTACAAGTCTGATAACGTGAGGGTTTTAAGTTTGATTCCTGGTGCGTACTGCTAAAGAGACGTATACCAGAACTAACCGTCTTCCCAGTACTTCTTGGTTTTCAATAGCTCTCACTGCACATGTGATCGCCACCTCTTATTTGAAATTATAGTTTGTTTTCCTCCTCCAAGTAATTCAATAATTGAAAAACAGTTATTACTGAAGTGACTTCATTTTTGCAAATACAAAGTGTATATTCATTTTGGACTATTCGAATAAAATTAATAGAAAGAGTAAGTAAGGCTATATTATTGGAATGATATTTAATTGGACTATAACATATTCATTTCCTAGCTATAGTATCACAAGAAAATAATGAAAAAAGACAAATCATAGAAAAGCATTTATTGCAAATAACTTACTGTATTCGATTTCTAATCCAAGATATTTTATTTTGTTGGCTTCATGGAATGCTTTTTTCTTAAGGCGACAGATTCTAAAAAGTAAATAATATTGAAATACGTCTACTTCTTCAGTTTTAGATGCTTGTATGTGAAACGAAGTAAAATGATAAAGCTCCTTGTTTTATCAATCACTGTTGAATCGTCTTATACTGGGGAAATCAACCTCTTTTAAAATAAGTTCACTAACCATCTTAAGTTTAAAAATTAATTATAACATAATTCAATCTGTCAATGATATGTTTTAAACATAAGCTGAAAAAGTTTTTATACAGTAAAATCATTTCTTTATAAACTACTAATGACATATCGCTTATTGGATAAACAAAAACACATCAGGATTTATGTAGAAGCAAATATGTTTAAAAACACAGACTTATTGATCACCACTTATGAACAACGGGGAGCACAGATGAAGATATGAGAAGCCCAGTTTCAGAAAGTCAACATAAGCCTTCATCAATCTAAGATCAGTGTGGGAATCTAATGCTCTCACCATCAAGAAAAAGATTCGGATTCTCAACACTAAGTCAAGTCACTTCTTCTATATGATTCACAGACTTCGACTGTCAGTCACCAAAAGCACTTCAAACAGTCTATTGTAGACCGTAATCGACAGTTGTTTTGTCTGGATACTGAAGATCAGATGGTCGGAAAGGATAGGCAATAAGGAACTCTGATAGTCAATGAACCGACCGATAACCTATTAACTGACAAATACGCTGAAGGCAATGGAGATAGATTGGAGACACTGAGAAGACTGTTGAGTAACATCACGCCAAGCTGGAGCTCAACTAACACGAATGTGAAGCGACAAGCTGCACCTATGCCCAGGGGTGACGTGAAGGAGACTGAGTAATGAAGAGATGGGAGCTTATAGGCAATTGTGGAGCCAAGTAAAAAAGGTTGCTTTGAACAGGATAAAATGTGGATGTTTTGTTGAAGCCCCATTTTTCACTCGGCATGCAACGGAATAAGAATAACAGTAAACCATCAACGTCAACTGGCTTTTTAACATGTACGGAATGGTCGCCAAGATTTCTCCATTATATAAGAAAATCAAACAGGACACAGAGATAAATATTGTTCTGGCGTTAGTTAATCCCCTGTTTAGCTTATCTTAGCATTTAACATCTGCACTCATGACATTCATATGTCCTGTGAGATTTCAATCTGCCGCATTCGGTGTAAAACTTAAAGACTGAAGTATAGTAAATCAGTACACGATTTGATTTCAAATTCAAAACTCATACAGTGAAGTATTGCAAAAGTGCTGAATGAATTTTAACTTTAAGTAATGATATCAAGCAGAGACTTTTGCTGTTTAAACACAAACAATCTCATCTGGGATTATTTTAAGTATTGGTATTTTTGTATATAACTTTCTAATGACCTTCTTCACAAAATCACTGGGTGTACTGCATAGGACCATTTTTCTTTCCTTAGGACTAGTGGTGTCAGTGGTCATAATTCACTTGAAAAATTTTCGGAGAATAATGCCTGTTTTGTCATTACTTAACTTCTATCGATCAAAACGAAGCAACGCCATTCAATGAAGTCATCCAAATTTAGAGATCTTTCTTTATCCTACGTATTACATCATCCAATATATAGTATCTGTTTGAAAATAATTAAAAAGAAAAAGAAGCTATAAACTTTCCCTTGAAGTGAATATTGCTTAATGAGTTTTCGTGAGAAAAAATATTTATCTCATTCTTATTAGTTTGAGCTTCGTGAACCCTTTAGGATGAATACAGTTTTATTCTAGTTTTTGCTTCATTTTTTGTCTACTATTAAGTTGCTGCGTCTAAACATTTCCAATTAGGTGTATATTTACAAAAAGGACAAGAGTCAAAAAAGCATAGGAATATTCTTTCCTACTCATTGAAAAGTGGTTTTCGTTTGGACCTGTAGTAAAAGCATAATTTCTTTCTCAGCTTGCCTACCCTACTACTTTGATTGGACACTAGCTAGTAACTAGTACCATGAGTCTAGTCGTTTGTTAGGTACGGACTAAATTCTATCAGTAAAGTTTGTAATTTGACCACCATGCTAGGTGGTTTGACATCCCGGTATCCTGTGAAACGTTGGAGGCAATTTCAGAACTGACATGAGTACTTTCAAGGTTGCAGATACGCCTTGCTAACTGGAGAATGCCAACAAGCACAAAACCTAGGTCCAAGGCTTCTTGTTGATCGCCTCCAGTCATCCAATAACGAAATTACTTTACTACGTTTATAAAAATAATTATCTTAAATAAACAATCGAGGTTCTTTTTCTAACGTAACACGATAATCAACTTGATACACCTTTTCACCGACAGTGACAGCTCACTATTAATCATTTAGTTAATGTTATTTTCAGTGGAGAAAACTCTTGGGTTTTAACAAGTGTGTAACATAATAAAAACGTCTTGTCACTAAAACGACAGCTGCTTATTTATCGAAACAGTTAATATAAAAGAATTTGTATCTTTATCAAAAAACAGAATACAGTTTCAGTCATACTGCAATGTTTTTGATGACAACGAGATAATACTGAAAGATATTTGGTGTATGTAGAGAAACTGGTACTGTTAAGTGGGTTTCACTTTTCATTTTATCTATTTTACCAAACAGTTCTTCAGTAGCGCAGTCAAGGTCCTCAGTAGAATGAATGTCTATGCGACCAGTTTTTTGGAAGATATCTACTTATATACAATACCTTTGAAGCATTTTTAAACCCTAATATAGTTTATAGATAAATAATTTTGCAGCAGTTAATGTATGCAGTCTGATAGCAATTCTATAAGCAAGTTTGAAATTGTAAATCTATTCTGTCCATCGAGTAGGCACACACTTCTATCAACCTAAATCGAGCTCTGAGGTTGAGTAAACAAGTCATGGCAACAGTAAAAAATAGACACTACAGTCAAATGACCTTAAGTCAATCAATCAGATAGCTCAGCATTACAAATAGATGTTCTTCATAATCTTGATTGCAAGTTTCATCATGATTCAGCGTTAAGTCTAAGGTAGGAGTAGAGTAGGGTTATAATTAAGGTTAGGGTGAAACTTGCAAAAGAGATTACGAAAAGCATCCATTTGTAATACCTAGCGATCTGAGTAGTTGGATCAAGCTTATTTGACTATGGCGTCTATTCTTTACTGTTGCCCAAATCATTCACCTATGACTTCAGTGATACATCACCTGAGTACCTGAAAGAAACACATGGCTAATGCAATTCACAGGAATTTACAAAATAAATAGTGATATGGTTTCAGAGAAACACCAGCGACTGTATTTTGTTTAATATTCATTATCATTTGATCATACTTCACTAGTCTTCTTATCTGCTTTCCATTTATTCCTGCTTTTTCTTTTCTATATTACTAAAAATTGTGGTAGCGTGAGCTAGACACTATTGTCTTATGTTCCACAATCGTTTGATTAGCTTTTGACTTATTCTCTTTATCAGCCGAAAATAAAACACGCAATAAACTATCTGGTTAGTATAGTATTTATTTAATCTTATAAAGACAGTAGTTATCGAATTCACTGCAAGGTAAAGAAATAAAAGAAACTGCCATTAATTCTTTAATTATCATTTATATGCATACTGTTATGGTTAGAGGAGTAAGAACAGAATACCCTGGAATCAAATAGATAAGAATCTACAGGTCTTCTCGGCATTTAGTAAGCCTAATAAAATTAGTGTATAGTTATTAGGATATTCAGGCATAGGTAAATCAAATCCATGCAAGCCAATACTTGAAAATCAGTCTAGTTCACATTAGTCACCCACTAGACAATGAAGTTGTTTGAAGTTATAGTGAGAACCTCTGGGTCGACAGAATCGAATACCGCCTTTAGGTCAGGAAATATAATTATTGTTGGACGCCGGTAGGAATGCATATGTTCTAGAATCTGTCGGAGGGTGAAGATATGATCAGTACATCCTCTTCCTGGTCGAAAGCCTGTTTGGTTCTCTCGTGTTTGTGCCTCCCGAGCACCACTTAGTTTACGCAATATTACTGAGCCTAGGATTTTAGATACTATATTAGTCAACCTAATCCCTCTGTGGTTATCACAGGAAGACTTGTCTCCCTTCTTGTATATGGGAATATTCCATTATGCGTATTTCGTCCTATTTAGGACTCATTATCCGGATGTACCTGCACTCCTCAGTGAGTGATAGTGTTCTCAATCAAATCCAGTGCCCATCGTTTCAAACACCATGGTTTCGTCTCTTGGCTCAGGAGGCCTGGTAGATAACACTTTGGGGGTTGGGACAATGATATCGCCATCCCACAATGTTAAGATATTTTCAACAGATTATCCCTTCCCAAATCATACAACCACTTTGCTTAATTTAGCCCTGCCATATCTAAAAGGAGCTGTAAGTTGACAGTGAGGGACTTTTTAGTTACTTTTAAACCTCTGTGTTGTCCAATAGGTCAGTGTCCACCAAACGTAACTTGGAAATTTGAAAGAACACCACGTCTCAGTCAAACTATTTTCAAGGTATCCTTCTTGGCATTATGTGAGTCTCTGCAGGTTACTGATCAAAATAACCTGTGTTTCACATTGTACTTCTTGTTGCCTGTTAACCAGATAGTCTAAAACCATACTCGACAGCTAAAGAGTGCATTCTCTTCAACGCTCACATCCATTTCATTCGAATTAATTGAAAGGTTATGATGAGCTCTAGTTTTTCTTCTCTTTAATTTATGTACTGACATTTAGATTATGGGTTGCTTGGGGATTTATATTAACTTCAGTGTAGACTCCTTTACGAACCAATATCAGTTTCAGAATCGATGGAAACCAATGAGCACTGAGCAGTTGTCTTGTCCCAGCTTGGGACTCTTTATCTGTCCAGTATTCTATGGTGTCCAATGATTATCTGACTGATGTTGGTCTATAACGGAATCCACATTAATAAGCTGACATCAGGTGTTTTAAACCTAATATCTGTTTTTAAACAAGGGGTGATCAATTCAACATGGTTATGACAGCTGCAATTTTGTCATACATTTTCAAGTTTTCCGGACTATCAAAATTCGCCTCTCCCACCCTACATCCTTAATGTAAGCGGCTATTCCGTCAGGTCAAAACAATATTTCAGTGATAAGTGAAAAACAATTCAATATCTTTACTAATATGATATGATACAATGTATACTGCTCACAATATAAAAACTCTATCTGCTTTTCCGAGAATATCATTACAGTTTGTAAAACGCTTGGTTTAAAAAGGCAAAGAACTTACTTGCTAGCTAATTTGTTTTTCTCGCGTTTGGCCTGTTCAATAACTTTTGTGTTTGAAATACAGCCAGAAATATCCTGAATTAGTTTCAAATCGATGTTCATATCCGAATGATCAATAATTTTCATTGCTCCAGCAGAAATTAATTCACCTTGAGCTGATATATGTCTATTCAGATGGACAAGTTCTTCGCCCATAGAACGTAATCGCATTAAATTTGGAGTCACATCATTTCCGTCACCTCGACGCAGTTTTGAACAGTGAACTAAGTCATATCTTCTTTGCACAGGGTCTTCAAAAACAACCAATGGATAGTTTGGTAAGGATAGCGATGATATCGGATAATGTAATAACTGCTGAACAACACCAGAAGATGTACTCGAAGAAACAATGTCATCTTGGTAGTCGTTTGAAACACAACCTTTTGCCGAATTTTCCAAACTATTCTCACAGTGATTACTTGCTATTGCTCTGTTTGTCAGATTTATTAATGGAGAAGCTTTTGGTCCTTTACACTGAGAGTTATACAACCAAAAATATGCCCCACTTGACAAGTTGAGAGTATGAGTAACTGGTGAGTTTGTTTCAGTACCTTCAAAATTAAATTTCAGGAAATGTAAATTGATAGATTTGACAGTGTGTGCAGTGATAGTATGTTATATTAATTTTAAATTATAGATATTTGTCAGTGATGCTGTCATACGAGTGAAAAAAATAGTTTAGAAACTTGTGCATCTTTAAATAGGCTACTCAGATACTTAGAATATGAAAACTACAATTTAGGTTAATTTGTCATGAAGTACAAAAGAGTTAAACAGTGAACATATTAGAAATTTTACCAGCTAATTCTCATTAAAGTGGTTTCATACCTTAAGATGATTAGTCATTTCACAATTATTCGATTATGAAACTATTATTTTATTTTATTGTTTGACTCTTGAGCTCCAAGTAAAACATACAACTTTAACATCAGATTCCCATTCCGCTGTGTATTGTGCCTTCATTTTAGCTGGTTCCACGACTGACCTAGACTTTAATTCTGTCTTCACACTATCCCTTCCATTTCATCCTTTGACACAGACGAAACTCTCAGCTTCGCATCCCGGTCCCCTTGGAATGCCTGACATGAGGTGCCACTCAGTTGTTTACTAATCACGTATCTAATCCATCTTCATTCGCTTCAGCACATTTGTTAGTCAATAGGTTATTGATTGGTTCATTAACTGTCAGAGTTTCTTGTTGTCTATCCTTTCCGACCGTCTGATCTTCAGTATCCCGACAAAACAACTGTCGATTACGGTCTACAATAGACTGTTGGAAGTGCTTTTGGTGACTGACAGTCGAAGCCTGTGAATCATATAGAAGAAGTAACTCCATAATGGTTAGGATTTTATTTTGATAAATCACACAGTGTTGTACAGTTATATTAACTGATGACGTTTCGAGCACAAACTATTGCTCATAATCATATCAAGTTACTCACACAACTTCTTTCCTTCATTTATATACATGTGTGGAATCGATTAGATATTGGAATAAAATTCAATATGAGATAATGTCAGTCAGAAATAATAGTACGAGTGTTATTAATCCATTACAATTAGATGGTAAATACGACGAGTGTTTTTATAGTCATAATAAGTTGATTGTTAGAATGCTTTGATGTGCTTGAATGGAAATAGAATTTTAAGATTATTTATCATCCTCTTCTGATTTGACCGGCGGTAATAATATCTTCCATATTTCTGGTATTTGCATTGAGTCACTTCTGTTGCATGTGTTGGGTGTGGACTCGATGAATAAGGATTCCGTAATCAACCTCTCTTTCCACCTACCTATATTACTTTTTAGAATTTTAACCCTATCCCACCCTATTGTGTGGTTGTTTGTTAATGCGTGAAGTGCAATAGCTGAGCTTTTTTCTAAATTGCTTATCTTGTCAGGGTCAATCAGTTTTCCCTTAGCTAAATTCTTATGTTCTGATACTCTGACTATCCCTGATCTACTAGTTTGACCTACGCAGTTGACTTCACAGTCATTGCAGGGTATTTTGTAAATTATATTATTTTGTTTAATTGGGTCCAACGGGTCCTTCAACCTACAAAGTTTGTCTCTGAGTGAGTTTGTGGGTTGTGAAGGACCCGTTGGACCCAATTAAACAAAATAATATAATTTACAAAATACCCTGCAATGACTGTGAAGTCAACTACATAGGTCAAACTAGTAGATCAGGGATAGTCAGAGTATCAGAACATAAGAATTTAGCTAAGGGAAAACTGATTGACCCTGAAAAGATAAGTAATTTAGAAAAAAGCTCAGCTATTGCACTTCACGCATTAACAAACAACCACACAATAGGGTGGGATAGGGTTAAAATTCTAAAAAGTAATATAGGTAGGTGGAAAGAGAGGTTGATTACGGAATCCTTATTCATCGAGTCCACACCCAACACATGCAACAGAAGTGACTCAATGCAAATACCAGAAATATGGAAGATATTATTACCGCCGGTCAAATCAGAAGAGGATGATAAATAATCTTAAAATTCTATTTCCATTCAAGCACATCAAAACATTCTAACAATCAACTTATTATGACTATAAAAACACTCGTCGTATTTACCATCTAATTGTAATGGATTAATAACACTCGTACTATTATTTCTGACTGTACATTATCTCATATTGAATTTTATTCCAATATCTAATCGATTCCACACATGTATATAAATGAAGGAAAGAAGTTGTGTGAGTAACTTGATATGATTATGAGCAATAGTTTGTGCTCGAAACGTCATCAGTTAATATAACTGTACAACACTGTGTGATTTATCAAAATAAAATCCTAACCATTATGGAGTTATACTCTACCACAGTGCCCAAGTTTTATACTTATATGACTTGACTTAATGTTTAGAATTCGATTCTTGTTCTTGATGGTGAGTGCATTATATTCTCACACTCAATTCAGAGTGACGAATGTAAGTCTTGCTCTTCCAGTCCTGTCTTGGACATACTCAAACATGCTATCTTTGGCTGAGACAACTCTGCCTAGAAAAGTGAGAGAGGTGACCGCCTTCAGCCTACTCCCGATGATTTTGAGTGGTGCTTGTTATATTTAGTTTTTTAGTTGCATTAGAGCCTTTGATTCCACTAGTGATATCATGACATTCAAGTATTGGTTTGTAGGGATTTGGTTGACTGGTTACAGGATTTCATCGTGAGCTGACATTCGCTGGCGTTTGCGCTATATCATGAATTGGCAGAAGTTAGAATTCATGGGCCATTGGATCGGTTCCCAGTGGCTTAGTGGTGTATGAGCTCGCCTTGTAACCAGAAGGTCCTGGGTTCGAACCCCGGTGGGTGCGTACTGATGAAGAGTCCTAAAGGAAGTGGATGAAACAGCTGTCCAGTACTCCCAGGTTTTCCAATGGTCCTCTAACCAATGTCAGCTCATGATGAAATCCTGTAACCAAGATATCATGACAGCCAATCCCTGAATTCTCTTATGAATACCGTCTGGCTGAGCAGAGTACATTTGATTATTAGCTCTACAATGATTAATTTGGAGAGTTCACTTCCATTACCTCTGCTTTCTGTCTCAAAAATTCGTAATGCCTCTGTTCCGTGCCCTCTCATTTCTTTTGTAATCAGAGCAGTCTTCCCAGAAAACTTCAAACGTCAGGCTGATATTCTGTGTCCCCATACTTATGTTTGCTTTCATCAAAAGAAGACATAAGCTGACTGACTTCACAAAGGTTTTTATCGACCCGTATCATTCCAAAACTCCGACTGCATAGACGAAAAGATCTATTTATGTTTATTTTTCTGTGCAGTGAAGTTTTTATAGCTACTAGATTGATTTTCCTACATACCATTGGTAGCCTTACGCCAAACTTTCCCTCTTCTTCTGGTTTCGGGACCGGTTAGGAAACACACAAGGAAACTAAACAAAGTTTGATTTTAATATAGACTATTACAAATTTATCTTCAGGACGCATTCAAAATTTTCGATTATATGCAATCTATTTCGAAGTTTGTGCGTCGGTGGCATAGCGGTTAGGACACTCACCGACCATGCACATGGTCCTGGGTTCGATCCCCGGCCGAAGCACTCCTCTAACTCGCTAAGCCAGAAATAATGCTGGTGAAGATGAAAGGTTGGGCATGAGGCTAGCAACCCCATCCCGTTAAATAAACACTGCTACAGAAACTTCAAGCCACTAGCCTGAAGCCTTATGTTCCACTGGGGAACGTGAAGGAAAATAAAATTCAGAAGTTTAAACTTAGCCTGTAACTCGTGTTACTGGATCCAGTGAGCTAACGATTTCAATTGATTATGGAGCGCAAGGAAATATACGTACCTTAAGATTGTTCACTAATTGAACTTAACCCACTGTTTTCTATCTTGTAATGATAGTATTCATTATTAAGGTAGGCGAAATGAAATGAAATTTAAAATAAAACTTGTGAATTGGAAAATACAAATAGGATAATCATTACTATGCTGTAATTACTTTTCTAAGTATATTAATACATAACTGGAACAGAAAGTTGATTGTCATATAGAAGTGTCACACCGCATTAAAATGAAATTTCGTTAGATTTTTTACAGCGCTTAACAAAAATTAAACTGTATTTAATTATTTATACAATTACTGTTAGCTTTAGTTATAAAGGTACATATTATCACCTGTCTTTTAAGACAATAAGACTGAGACAAATTCTACAAATAAATGAAAATACATAGTGATATTGAGTGACTGAGTGTGAAATGTTATCAGCTAGCGGAATGATCAAAGTAAATACAAAATCTAGACGCTTAATTTGAAAGCAGTAACAAAAGAAACAATTTTTATTAAATTATTTATTTATCAAAACACATAGTGTAATAACTTTCACGCTTGAAATGTTTTCTATTACTTCAAACTGTTCAGATAATTGAGAGTAAACACTATTCTTTATTGAAAGGAATAGTATAATTTGAATCAATGAGGAGACAGAGATAATATCCAAAATACAATGGCACTCATTTCTTCTGAAATAACATTCGTGGATGAGGAATGCGAAAGAAGTAAGAAAGATAAAGCATCACCAACCCTTTTAGTTTGTTTAGTCTGCAGATTCTAAAACATCTGTGGTGATTGAAATGATTTCCGGAAAGGTCAAAATCATAATAAACTCTCATGAGATGGCTAGAACAATGAACACAACACGTTGAGATGCATTTAAACTGGTCTATAGATGAACAAGTGTGCAGATTGTAACCGTAGCCTGAAGGATATATTACTGTCTCATTTTCAAAACTAGCTGACATCTCAAAACCAGGAGTGATGAATTATTAGCAAGGTTAGGGCTCTGTTTCATATATACATGTCTGAAACAAACTTGGTAGATTGGTGAGAATTCTTGGCCAATATATTTTATCAAAGCCTACATAAAAGTGCATATGGTAATCAAAGGCGTAATAGCTCACCTTATAAAGTGTCGGAGATCAATATAACAATATTCACAGGCCGACAAAGTGTACCTCAGTGAAAACATACTCGACAGAAACCAAGTAGAGAAGATGGCTGAGTGGATGTATTCATCATATCTTCTCTCATTGATTAGTTGTGGACTATATGCAGAAGATACTGTCCATTTAGGTATGGATGCTGACAAAATTCAATATTTTTGAATAAACTGAACAAACACAAGTGTATCATTCTTTTCACAATGAAAATCATACTTCATTGTTTGTCTACACTGACTCCTAGTTTAAAAATAGGTAGTACAGTTTTTAAGTATGTTGACCACTTTGATTATTCAGAGAGTCACATCAGACCTAACAGATAGATTTCTGATGAAAGTTTAGCCAGAATACAAGAGTTTCGTTTGACATTTCTCCAATATACTTAACTGTTTGTGCACACGGGATTTTCGTCCATCCATCAAGGGATGCATGTAGTCTGTATGCGTGTATTTGGAGAAAACGCTTCTTATATCTACTATAAATAATTAACTTTGATCGTAGCTGAATCCACTTTGAAAAAACACTAACAACTTGGAGTTCCCTTAAGTAAGTTCTTTTAGGAAACCAGTTTGTAAAGATTTTATTAATTTAAAACTGTAATATGTCATATAATACTCTTCGTTCACATTTCATATGCATATAAATGCCCATCTGTGTATTTTTTTATTGTAATTGAGAGTTGAATAAAAGTATTTGGGTGTTTAACGTTATATCAGACAGGATGATTTTGGTAGTGATTCTGGACAGAGTTTTATCAATACTGATCCAAGAACATTTTAAAATTAACCCATGAATGATGCTATCATATGCGTTTTTTAATAATGTACGTTGCATAATTTCATATACAGGACAGGACTCCATGTGAACATAGAGAAGACGAAGGTGATGAAGATAACCAACCACTGCAACAGCAACCAGCACCAATCACCATCAGCCGGAGAGATTTGACAGAGGTTACTTCCTTCATTTATCTAGGCAGCAACCAATATTTCAACCACAGGCAGTCAGAATGGATGAAGATGTCAAATTTAGTCAGGATCAGAAGGGGAAGAAAGGCAATCATCAACCTGAAACCAGTCTGAAAATCCTCTACTTCACTCAGCCAGCATAAAAAACAAGATTCGGATTTTCAACACCAATGTTAAGTCAGTTCTTTTATATGGGTGGGAGACTTGCACAACGTGTCACGAAAAAGATTTCCAACAGCCTGTTGCAGACCTTTATCAACAGCTGCCTTCTATCCATACTTAAGATCGAATGGCCAGAAAGAATCAGTAACAAGAAACTTTGGGAACAAACCAACCAAGAGCCGATTGCTGAACAAATATGGAGGAGAAATTGGAGATGGATCAGACATACACTGAGGAGGCCATCGAATGACATCACGCGCAACGCAGGTCGTTGCTCAAGTGGAATCCAAATGGAAAGCGACGAGTGGGTTGATAGTGCGAAGGTGACATGGAGGAGATCGTGCGAAGAGGAGATGAGAGATTATGGTCAGTCGTGGACCCATCTGAAGAGGATGGCAGAGGTGTGTTGTTAAAGCCTTATGTTCAACTCGTAACCCAAGAGAACAATAATGTAATAGTTAACTTGTATATTCAGTCTTAATCTATGAAAGAAATTATTACGAGTATACTGTCATAATTTTCTTTTGTCTATTTTTTTCTAACGTTTTATTTTGCTTCGATTTTTTTATTTGCTATAAGAAGGCAAAAAACATTTTGTGATTTTCTCATGTAAATACTCTGAAGGAGTTTTTGATGACAGTACTGTATGGAAAGAGATGAGCAATACCAGAAATGATTTAACAAACAAACAAATAAAAAATGATGACTTAACCAGCTTGTCATTCGCATTAGAGATGAGCAAATATTCACTTGGTGAAAATGTTTTTAAAAAATAGTAAAAGGACTACAGGTTTTAATAACTTCGTAAGTAACAAACATGAATATATGGAAAGCAAGGCTTTTTCACAATAAAGCTATTTATACTATTACAATCCAACCTTCTACAAATAGTTATAAGTATTTACTTAAAAAAGCCGACCAACATAAAAAAAGCAAAATAAGTATGTGCTCACATTCATAGAATAAATATAGATACATTGAAATGACAGCATGCTGTAAATTGTTACTTTTCCTAGAGGTGTTCTTTTAAAATGTTTTTACCCAACGAACTAATCTGTTTCCTGTAAAATTATTTTCACATGCTTTAGAGAAATTCTTTCCAAATTAATGTACTTAAGTTCTTTTATTTCCTTTCAATGGCACCACTGGGCGTCGGTGGCACAGCGGTAGAATGCTAGCCAGCCACGCATGTCGTCTGGGGTTCGGTCTGGGTCCGGCCAACACACTCCTTAAGACTGGTAAAGAGGAAAGGTTGGGCATGAGGCCAGCAACCCCATCCTGTAAAATAAACACTGCTACAGAAACCTTAATCCTCTATAATGAAGCCCTATATTCCACTGGGAACGTAAAGGAATAAAGCAACAATAAAACATCTATTTATCATTTCAATAGTTCTAAGCATGTTATTAAGCGTCTCCTGTTTTTCACTTCTCTTGTACGACTTCTGATTACTGCAGTAATTTCAAACACTACTGTAGACATTAGAAATGCAGTAGACTGAACAAAGACACTTTTACCGTCCAGTATCTCATCAAGACGGTCTACAACGATCCACTTCCATTTTAATATAATAAAAGATAATGCACAGTTCTAGTGTTGGAAAGGTGAGTTATGAGATTTTATAAATATTATGAAACCAAGGAAATAATACACAATCAGTTTAATTCAAACAGTCATCATGGAATAGAATAGTTACTCATGGAGTACATGAAAGCTGAAGATAAGTTGTTGCATAACAGGCACATTTTAGAGTAGATATTACTAAGCATTGTGTTGTGACATGTTTCAAAATGTTGTTTGTGGCTTGAAGAACGAAGGAGTATCTTACACAAAAATCCTTTACAAGTTCTAAACCAAAGCTGAAATCCTCTTTAAGCACTTGCATAGCCTTCTTCTTCTTCTTCAAATAAATGTTTATCGAATCTACTTTACACAATTGAGACTTATATATTATATAAAAAACTTGACGAAGCATTAGAAATGTCTTTTATGTCAACCTGAACAACAGGTGTCGAGCTACTTTTTGTATCATCTTTCAAGAAGTATTCTGCTATAGAAATTTAAACCAGTAGTTGTCTGTTGTAATTTCAAGTGATCTAACTAGAAATCAGTGCATAAATTAGAGACACGAAATTTATTCATTATCCTTGTCCCCATTTTCAGTGACAGCCTATGTAGAACATAAATTATGGTCATAGAAACATTGAAATGAGACACTTTTAAATATAAGACAGAAATAATAAACTAGAAGCTCCTAGGTTCGAACCCCAGTTAGTGCGTATTGCTAATGATTCCCAAACTAGGATGAAACAGCTGTCCAGTACTTCCTGATTTTTAGTGGTTCTCTAATTGATATCAATCCATGGGCAAACTCGAAAAAGAAATTATTACTTCAAAAATAACAGTTTTCAGAGAGTCATTAATATTTATGTTTTTGATTTCGCGGATTTGATATATCCATATCAAGTGTTGGTTTGAAGGGATGTGATTGGTCACAGTTTGATCAAGAGTTGATATTAGATAGAGAAGCATTAAAAAACCTGCTAGTACTAGACAGCTGTTTTGTCCTAGTTTCGGGAATTTTCATCAGTAGCCATCCACTAGGATTCTAGTGAGAGGTTGTAACCAGCTGGGTCTACCAAATCAGGTATGAGAACATTTACCCGCCTATTACAGAGGCTGGCAGCTGCGCTGTATCATGTATCACAGATTGGCAGAAACTGGAATTCATGGGCCACTGGATAAGGTCTCAGTGGCTGAATAGTCTTCGAGCTTGCCTTAAAACCCGACAGATTCTGTGTTCGAACCCCAGTGAGTACATAGTAATGAAGACTCCGAAACCTAGGACAGAACAGATCTTCCAGTGGTTCTCTAACTTGTGATCAAAACTGTATCCATATCTGTAGAACAAATTACAGATAATCATACAATCGCAATGGAATACTTCATCTGAGTTAATAAATTCTACTTAGAGAACGAAATCAGTCACCCAGTTTCTTTACAGCGCTACGAAATGTAAGTTTCCCAACTAATTGTCTTTACTATGACATCTTCAGACTAATGAATTCTCATGTAATTACCATAACTCAGTTCTTACATTACGTAGCAATGCTTTAAAATGCTAAGTACTGGATTAGTTACGTTATGAAAACCAAATTTTGGCCGCTAAGAGAAACTCTAAAGTTAAGTATATTTCTCTTTATGGTTATCTGTCCGCAAGTTTTATTGAAAACGTGTCAAACACACACGTACACACATACACACAAAAGTTCATCGGGATCATTCACATTTCATCTATGAAAAGGTGCATTTAATAATAAGGCTACTTTTCTGTGCACTTTGAAAACTGTACATCAAACGAAAATCTTATGGTTCCCATAAAAATGTTTTATGCATACAATTAAGCAGACAAATGAAAGACTGGTCTACAACGAATGTTGCACATTTTTATTATTTTTAAACTGATTTAAATGTTCGCTGAGATTGGAAAGTGAAATTTGGCCAAATTGGAGGGAATATATATATATATATATTCATATAAAATATGACTGTCGAACAGTGTGTTCATACATGTACGCATGCATACATTGTAGCTTATATTTATATGCATGAAGGCTATCTCCCTCTTTCGTCCTTATCTATCTATATATCTCTCTGTTCCCTTATTAAAGTGTATTGTGAAAGCAAGCCTATAAGCATAATTTTGTCTGATTAACTAATTTCTCATGAGACATTTTTTTTTCCTTCATAAAAATGAGAAAGGTTTTATTGTTACTCATTTCTATTTCTAATTTTTTTTTATTAGGAGACTCGAGATTTGTATAAATGTATTCGTCAGTTCCATATAAGAAAGACTCTTACTATCTTAAAAATATCGTTGAATTTATTATTTATTATTATTATTATTTAAATTTGACTTGTTTAAATTATCCTTTCTGTTGCTTTTCCTTTTTTCCCCCACTTATTTTGAGAATGAATTTTTGCTCTTTTTTCTTTTCTAATGGAGATATCGAGAGATATTGAGAAAGTAGATTGGTTAAGAAAAAGGATTGATGAAACAATAACTCAAAATAGTATTCATCATGTTCAATTTCAAATTTTATATTTTGAATCATTAGAAATTTTACAGAATTAATTTTTAATTGTTGTTGCTTTTTTTTGCTTTTACTTCTTATAGCTATACAGAATGAAAGTTTAATTACTCAGTATGCTTACTTGTTTTATGACAGAGGAAATTTATAATCGCTTCAGAGAGATACTCTTAAAATGAATATGTTCTTGTACAAATAGTACTACCTATCAGAAGGTAATAGTTTTGAATATATATGTATTATTATTATTGTTCCCTTGGGTTCCTAGTGGAACATAGGGCTTCAACTGCACGTCTCCACTTGCTTCTGTCTTCTGCTGTACTCTTCACCTGCCTCCATGTTAGTCCATACTGTTTCAACTCCTCTTCACACGATCTCCTCCATGTCACCCTTCCACGTCCAACTCGCCGCTTCCCTTTCAGGTTCCACTCGAGCACTGGTCTGACGCGCGATGTCACCCAGTGGCCCCCTCAGCGAGTGTCCAATCCATCTCTACTTTCTCCTGCATATTTGTTGAGCGATTGGTTCTTGTTTTGTTTGTTCTCATAGTTTCTTGTTGGTGATTCTTTCCGGCCATCTGATCTTCAGGATAGAGCGACGAAGACAGTTGTTGATAAAGGTCTGCAACAGGCTGTTGGAAATATTCTTTGTGACCAGCTAAGTTTCTGATCCGTATAGAAGAAGAACTGACTTGACGTTTGTATTGAAAATCCGAATCACTTTGTTGTTGATGCTGAGTTGAGTGACGAAGATTTCCAGATTGGTTTCAGGTTGATGAATGTGTTTCTCGCCTTCTCATCCTTTCTCTAAATTTCCGATTTAACCTCCAAAGTCGTATGTCTTTGCTCACATTTCACTTTCCAGCTGACTCTGAAGAATTCCCAAAGCAGTTGTATGCTATTCAAAACTCTGTACTTTCTTGATCATTATATACGCATTCAGTCTGCTTATCTTGCAGACAATTAAAGTGTGTACTTTAGAATCCTGTCTGATATGTATTGTCATTAAAATGTGTGAAAAAGTAAAGTACTGTGTTTAATGCAAATCGTTATGCTGTTACAAAGCCACCACTTTGTTTTCAATAGACAATGAATGATCACGAAATTCAGGTGACACAGATTTGTGTGAACTTCAGTAAACTATCATACTGATGAAATAAGCAGACAATTGTGTCTACTTTACAGTGAAGAAGTATTTGCGATCATTTCATTGAATACACATCGTGGTTAGGAAAAACAAAACACCCTAGGAAAGATTCTGAAAATCTGCAAGACTTTAACACAAATTTTAAATCTCTTACAGATTTAATGAGCCTGGAATATATGTCTTAACTACTGAAATAAAGCTCTCAATGGGGTTGTTATTACAGTAAAGTTATGTGGTTTAGTCTCTGTTGGATCAGTACTGAGTCCATAAAGCGAAATCGAACTGTTTACATTCACGTGATATCACCTCAGTTTGTGTGTAACACTCATCATTCGCATACAGCGAAAACATTATAGATGCTTTTAAATAGATCAAAACTGTGTTCCAAAGAAATTCAACGATCCATTTTCCTTACTTTGGCGTCTAACATGAAGTGGTTTAACGTACACAGAAACTATGCCTCTTGAGTTCCTTAATTTATTATTATTAATA